ACGTCAGACAGACCGGGGTACCGTCCTCAGTGGCCACCAGCTGACGGGATCACCCTCTTGGCAGAGACGGGAACTAACTCAGACAGACGGTACTCGTCCTCAGTGGCCACCAGCTGGACGGGATCACCCTCTTGGGAAGACGGGACTAACGTCAGACAGGACCGGGTACCGTCCTCAGTGGCCCCCAGCTGGACGATCACCCTCTGGTGGCAGAACGGGAACTAACGTCAGACAGGACCGGGTACCGTCCTCAGTGGCCACCAGCTGGATGGGGATCACCCTCGGTTGGGCAGAAACTGAACTAACGTCAGACAGACCGGGTACCGTCCTCAGTGCCACCAGCTGGACGGGGATCACCCTGGTGGCAGAACGGGAACTAACTCAGACAGGACCGGGGTACCGTCCTCATTGGCCACCAGCTGGCGGGGATCACCCTCTGGTGGCAGAGACGGAACTAACGTCAGACAGCCGGGGTACCGTCCTCAGTTCCACCAGCTGGACGGGATCACCCTCTGGTGGCAACGGGAACTAACGTCAGACAGGACCGGGTACCGTCCTCAGTGGCCACCATCTGGATCGGGATCACCCTCTGGTTGCAAAGACGGTGGAACTAACGTCAGACAGACCGGGGTACCGTCCTCAGTGGCCACCAGCTGACGGGGCACCCTCTGTGGGACAAACGGGAACTAACGTCAGACAGGACCGGTACCGTCCTCATGGCCACCACTGGACGGGGATCACCCTCTGGTGAGAACGGGAACTAACGTCAGACAGGACCGGGTACCGTCCTCAGTGGCCACCAGCTGGACGGGATCACCCTCTGGTGGGACAAACGGAACTAACGTCAGACAGACCGGGTACCGTCCTCAGTGGCCACCAGCTGGACGGGGATCACCCTCTGTGGGCAGAACGGAACTAACGTCAGACAGGACCGGGGTACCGTCCTCAGTGGCCACCAGCTGGACGGGATCACCCTCTGGTGGCAAGAGACGGAACTAACGTCAGACAGCCGGGTACCGTCCTCAGTGGCCACCACTGGACGGGATCACCCTCTGGTGGCAGAACGGGAACTAACGTCAGACAGGACCGGGGTACCGTCCTCATGGCCACCACTGGACGGGGATCACCCTCTGGTGGCAAGACGGGAACTAACGTCAGACGACCGGGTACCGTCCCCATGGCCACCAGCTGGACGGGGATCACCCTCTGGTGGCAGAACGGAACTAACGTCAGACAGGACCGGGTACCGTCCTCAGTGGCCACCACTGGACGGGGATCACCCTCTGGTGGCAGAAACGGAACTAACGTCAGACAGGACCGGGTACCGTCCTCAGTGGCCACCATGGACGGGGATCACCCTCTGTGAGAGACGGGAACTAACGTCAGACAGGACCGGGGTACCGTCCTCATGGCCACCAGCTGGACGGGATCACCCTCTGTTGGCAGAGACGGAACTAACGTCAGACAGGACCGGGGTACCGTCCTCATGGCCACCAGCTGGACGGGGATCACCCTCTGTGGCAAGACGGGAACTAACGTCAGACAGGACCGGGTACCGTCCTCAGTGGCCACCAGCTGGACGGGGATCACCCTCTGGGGCAGAACGGGAACTACGTCACAGGACCGGGTACCGTCCTCTTGGCCACCAGCTGACGGGGATCACCCTCTGGTGGCAGAGACGGGAACTAACGTCAGACAGGACCGGGTACCGTCCTCAGTGGCCACCAGCTGGACGGGGATCACCCTCTGGTGGACGGGAACTAACGTCAGACAGGACCGGGTACCGTCCTCAGTGGCCACCAGCTGGACGGGGATCACCCTCTGGTGGCAGACGGAACTAACGTCAGACACCTGGGTACCGTCCTCAGTGGCCACCAGCTGGACGGGATCACCCTCTGGTGGGACAACGGGAACTAACGTCAGACAGGACCGGGTACCGTCCTCAGTGGCCACCAGCTGGACGGGGATCACCCTCTGTGGACAAACGGGAACTAACGTCAGACAGGACCGGGGTACCGTCCTCAGTGGCCACCAGCTGGACGGGGATCACCCTCTGGTGGACAGAGACGGGAACTAACGTCAGACAGGACCGGGGTACCGTCCTCAGTGGCCACCAGCTGGACGGGGATCACCCTCTGGTGGGACAGAGACGGGAACTAACGTCAGACAGGACCGGGGTACCGTCCTCAGTGGCCACCAGCTGGACGGGGATCACCCTCTGGTGGAGAGACGGGAACTAACGTCAGACAGGACCGGGGTACCGTCCTCAGTGGCCACCAGCTGGACGGGGATCACCCTCTGGTGGCAGAGACGGGAACTAACGTCAGACAGGACCGGGGTAACCGTCCTCATTGGCCACCAGCTGGACGGGGATCACCCTCTGGTGGCAGAGACGGGAACTAACGTCAGACAGGACCGGGGTACCGTCCTCAGTGGCCACCAGCTGGACGGGGATCACCCTCTGGTGGCAGAGACGGGAACTAACGTCAGACAGGACCGGGGGTACCGTCCTCAGTGGCCACCAGCTGGACGGGGATCACCCTCTGGTGGCAGAGACGGGAACTAACGTCAGACAGGACCGGGGTAACCGTCCTCAGTGGCCACCAGCTGGACGGGGATCACCCTCTGGTGGGCAGAGACGGGAACTAACGTCAGACAGGACCGGGGTACCGTCCTCAGTGGCCACCAGCTGGACGGGATCACCCTCTGGTGGCAGAGACGGGAACTAACGTCAGACAGGACCGGGGTACCGTCCTCAGTGGCCACCAGCTGGACGGGATCACCCTCTGGTGGCAGAGACGGGAACTAACGTCAGACAGGACCGGGGTACCGTCCTCAGTGGCCACCAGCTGGACGGGGATCACCCTCTGGTGGCAGAGACGGGAACTAACGTCAGACAGGACCGGGGTACCGTCCTCAGTGGCCACCAGCTGGACGGGGATCACCCTCTGGTGGCAGAGACGGGAACTAACGTCAGACAGGACCGGGGTACCGTCCTCAGTGGCCACCAGCTGGACGGGGATCACCCTCTGGTGGCAGAGACGGGAACTAACGTCAGACAGGACCGGGGTACCGTCCTCAGTGGCCACCAGCTGGACGGGGATCACCCTCTGGTGGCAGAAACGGGAACTAACGTCAGACAGGACCGGGGTACCGTCCTCAGTGGCCACCAGCTGGACGGGGATCACCCTCTGGTGGGACAAACGGGAACTAACGTCAGACAGGACCGGGGTACCGTCCTCAGTGGCCACCAGCTGGACGGGGATCACCCTCTGGTGGGACAGAGACGGGAACTAACGTCAGACAGGACCGGGGTACCGTCCTCAGTGGCCACCAGCTGGACGGGGATCACCCTCTGGTGGGACAGAACGGGAACTAACGTCAGACAGGACCGGGGTACCGTCCTCAGTGGCCACCAGCTGGACGGGGATCACCCTCTGGTGGACAGAGACGGGAACTAACGTCAGACAGGACCGGGGTACCGTCCTCAGTGGCCACCAGCTGGACGGGGATCACCCTCTGGTGGCAGAGACGGGAACTAACGTCAGACAGGACCGGGGTACCGTCCTCAGTGGCCACCAGCTGGACGGGGATCACCCTCTGGTGGCAGAGACGGGAACTAACGTCAGACAGGACCGGGGTACCGTCCTCAGTGGCCACCAGCTGGACGGGGATCACCCTCTGGTGGCAGAGACGGGAACTAACGTCAGACAGGACCGGGGTACCGTCCTCAGTGGCCACCAGCTGGACGGGGATCACCCTCTGGTGGCAGAGACGGGAACTAACGTCAGACAGGACCGGGGTACCGTCCTCAGTGGCCACCAGCTGGACGGGGATCACCCTCTGGTGGCAGAAGCGGGAACTAACGTCAGACAGGACCGGGGTACCGTCCTCAGTGGCCACCAGCTGGACGGGGATCACCCTCTGGTGGGACAGAGACGGGAACTAACGTCAGACAGGACCGGGTACCGTCCTCAGTGGCCACCAGCTGGACGGGGATCACCCTCTGGTGGCAGAGACGGGAACTAACGTCAGACAGGACCGGGGTACCGTCCTCAGTGGCCACCAGCTGGACGGGGATCACCCTCTGGTGGCAGAGACGGGAACTAACGTCAGACAGGACCGGGTACCGTCCTCAGTGGCCACCAGCTGGACGGGGATCACCCTCTGGCGGGACAGAGACGGGAACTAACGTCAGACAGGACCGGGGTACCGTCCTCAGTGGCCACCAGCTGGACGGGATCACCCTCTGGTGGCAGAGACGGGAACTAACGTCAGACAGGACCGGGGTACCGTCCTCAGTGGCCACCAGCTGGACGGGGATCACCCTCTGGTGGACAGAACGGAACTAACGTCAGACAGGACCGGGGTACCGTCCTCAGTGGCCACCAGCTGGACGGGGATCACCCTCTGGTGGGCAGAAACGGGAACTAACGTCAGACAGGACCGGGGTACCGTCCTCAGTGGCCACCAGCTGGACGGGGATCACCCTCTGGCGGGACAAACGGGAACTAACGTCAGACAGGACCGGGGTACCGTCCTCAGTGGCCACCAGCTGGACGGGGGATCACCCTCTGGTGGCAGAAACGGGAACTAACGTCAGACAGGACCGGGGTACCGTCCTCAGTGGCCACCAGCTGGACGGGGATCACCCTCTGGTGGGCAGAGACGGGAACTAACGTCAGACAGGACCGGGGTACCGTCCTCAGTGGCCACCAGCTGGACGGGGATCACCCTCTGGCGGCAGAAACGGGAACTAACGTCAGACAGGACCGGGGTACCGTCCTCAGTGGCCACCAGCTGGACGGGGATCACCCTCTGGTGGAGAGACGGGAACTAACGTCAGACAGGACCGGGGTACCGTCCTCAGTGGCCACCAGCTGGACGGGGATCACCCTCTGGCGGGACAGAAACGGGAACTAACGTCAGACAGGACCGGGGTACCGTCCTCAGTGGCCACCAGCTGGACGGGGATCACCCTCTGGTGGCAGAGACGGGAACTAACGTCAGACAGGACCGGGGTACCGTCCTCAGTGGCCACCAGCTGGACGGGGATCACCCTCTGGTGGCAGAGACGGGAACTAACGTCAGACAGGACCGGGGTACCGTCCTCAGTGGCCACCAGCTGGACGGGGATCACCCTCTGGTGGCAGAAACGGGAACTAACGTCAGACAGGACCGGGGTACCGTCCTCAGTGGCCAC